GAGTCAACCCAAATCAAGATGGCCACTTCAGCCAATTAATGTAATATTTTTTTTCCAAATTTTCCTATTTTAATTTGAAATATCACAGAGTAAGATTAGACATAGAGATGGTTGTGTGATCGATATGAACTCTGAGAAACATCTGCTGTCAAGAAGCCTGGCTGTTATAAAGGTCCCGCTTCTTCACTTTCACAAGCATGTCTGAGCAAAACGTGAGGACATTAAGAGAAAAGCAAACATTTAAATGAATGACTGCCGTCACTTTCTTAGATTGATGGAGCCATTATCATTATCTCAGCTCTGAAAATGGCATTTTTGCAAAATGATCTCCGCCTTGCTTTTTCCTCTTCTGTGACAAACACACTGTCAAAGACTCAAACCCACTTCAGCTCCAGTACAAAGTGTTTTTCTACTGCAATTTCACTATATTTACTGTGTGATGAGGTTGCTGCCAAATAGGGCTGCACAATGTATCGAAAATATATCGTCATCGCGATAATAGCCAGCGCAATACGCATATCGCAACAACTGCGTAAACTGCAATAAACAGTTGACTCAAAAGTTTGCATTTATGCATTTTGTCATTCAGATGGAAGCTTGAAGTATTTCACCAATCTAACGGTGCCCTTCATGCATTTGATCAATTGGATAGGTCTCTTCATTTAGAAAAAATCAGGCTGGAATAGAAATTTGTTTTTTTTAAGGTTGTTGTTTTTTTTGTCTTTGAACCCAGAGCAGACAGATCTCAACACTACACATGTATTTTTTCATTTATCGCAAGTCATATCGTCATCACAATATTAAGCACTGTTATCGCACATCGCAGGTTTTCCTAATATCGTGCAGCCCTACTGCCAACGCCTCCACAAAGGAAGTTATAATGACAGGAACACTGCAGTTCAGAGAGAGGGGAGAACACAGACGTGCCTATAAGAGGGTTAAAAATGCACGTCAACAGATCTGACTTTCAGCGCTTTCTGCTCTTCTATAAACGGATTGCAAAAGGCACCGCGTAGAGCACATGATCCATTTTTTAAAGCATTCATCTAAAATAATCACATATTTGTCAGCATGGGCCCCTCACACACAGAGACAAAACAGAGGAGGGAGAGAATTACAGGAAGCAGCCAGTTTACTCCTACAAATCACAGATTAAATTGGACTCCATCCAGTTTCTCATCTGATTACAGCCGAAGTACAGTCAACTTCAGGTCAACTGTCATTTCAGCCTCCCTTTTGTTTACATTTGTAGAAACACCCCCAAAGTTATGCACACACAACAGAAATTTATGACAGACTTTTAGTTTGAAGTTTTTACTTTTTTTACGTTTTGTTCTCTTTATTTTTTATGCTTAGGGAAGATGTTTCCTCCTTAAATTTCCAGCTTCATCTCTCCTCCTTTACAAGTCACTGTTTTGTCAGATTACACGTTCAGCTTCTGTCAAAAACAGCCTTTAGTTCTCCTTGCTATAAAAGCCTAACCAAATTTCTCTTTTTCATTGAACCCTAACTGAAAACCCAAATAAGTGAAGCCATAATTCTGCATTTCCTTTTGTAAAACAATAAGCCGAGAACTCATGCACAGTCTGCTGGAACAGCACAGCGTGTAAAGCCACGACGCCTGATCGAGCATTTGGGAACCGGAGGGAACGAGGGGGAAGATTATCAGAATCCTGGAGCAGCCAGCTGCCACTGGAGCTGTGTGGGCAACACTGCATCCTGTCTTCCTTTTTTCTTTCTTTCTTTCTTTTTATCTCCCTGCCTCTTTCATGGTCACCCTCATTAAGCAGCGGTGATAGCAGACGGTTTTATGCCCAGGCACTGCCAGCAGCAGGGAGCCAAACCTTCTGCACATCAGACGTGCTCGACACAAAGCAAAGAAATCGGTTCTCAACGTGTCCGGCGTTCACCGCTGACAGACGCGCCAGAAAGCGTGAACATGTTGAAATGTAACTTTTAGAATTCCTCGCAGAAACAGACTTTAAAAATAAAAGATTAAAAAGAACAACTTCAGACTACACTTAAGGTAGCTGAAGGCTGCTTTACTGTGGCGAGCATCTTGAATGAAACTGACTCTAAAAGTTACTTACCTACAGATTAGAGCACGCTGTAGTCGTCATCGCAATATACCTAAATGTACTTTACTTTACGTACTTTGTCATCAATGCATGTTCCCATGCAATGATGAAATTTGTGCTCTGCATTTGACCCATCACATGTGAGAATCACCCAAGTGGAGCAGTGGGCTGCTATGTAAGCTGCCCGGGGAGTATCTTGCTCAAGGAGCACCATGACGTGTGGGCATGGCGGGAAGTCGAACCTGTGACTCTCTGGTCCCAAGTCGGCTGCCCTACCACAGCACCACCTCCGCCCCCACGTGTGCATGATAATTACATTGCAGTATATGCGATGTAGGAGGCAAATTAAATGAATGTGCTATCAAGGAACTAAATCACTAAACCATGTCACTGCGCACGCTTTTATTTTGACGGGTTGCTTCTGACGGTGGATGTGGCAGCTTTGAGTCAGAAGCGCTAAAACTGTCATTTTATTGTGAAATGTCAGTGGAAATAATGGCAACGCCGTTCGGAGAAGAGTTGCCGGTAAATTCCCAAACTGTGGAGGAAGACTATGAGGATTTTGATGAAAACAAGGAAGATGAGCAAATTCACAGAGAACTGGAGGAAAAGTGTTAAAACACGATTAGCATGAATGCTAACATTAAAGCATGATGAAAACAGAAACTAAGGCTGTGTCCAAAACGGCAGGACGGGTCCTCCGAAGGTCGAATTTGTCGGCCGCATACGTCACAGCGCCGCGACGAAGGACGTCCAAAACGGAAGACTCCTCCGATGCGTCCGACAAATACGTCCTTCTTTTTCCCCGAATCGAAGGACAGGTCTGATGAATCCTTCCCGGCCCAGCATATCCCATAATGCATTGCGGCCCGACCGGAGATTTTTTTAAGCTAGTAATGGCGGACGAAGCGAGAGAAAAGAATACATTTTAAATAAAAATATGGTGGTTTAAAAATTTAAAAAAATTAGCGGTTGTAATTCTAATACTTTTATCAGTTGTATGGACATGTTTTTAATTATTATTTTTTCGTCATAAAAAACGTGAAATAAACATGAACCTATCAATTAATTCTTCAAATGATACTTTTAAGTTAATTTTATAGTTTTGTGATATTAATAATGCTAATGTATTGATATTTTTCTAGTTTTGATTTAAGTTTGCTTGTTTAGCGTCGTCACAGTTGCTAGGTGACATGATGTACGCCGGGGTAAGGAGGGGAGGCTAGACCGTCCAAATCCACAGCCTCTTTTTTTCCGGTCTTCCCGGTCTACCAAGGACCCGGCCCGCCGAGACCGGGGAGTCTGGGTCCTCCGGAGGACCCGGCCTGTCGTTTTGGACACAGCCTAAGGTAGAAGCATGTCCTCAGGTCCCAGCACCATGAAATTAAGCACTAAATGATAAGAATAACTCTTAAATACAAACAAAAAAACATACTTGTGTCATGCACGAAACAAGAGATCAGATCGGTGCAGGTTTATAATCAACTAGATGGCTACATAAAGTGTTATCCAAGTCATCTGTTGAAAATCCTTAAATTGTTTTCTTATCACAGGGTTTAAAAAATATCACAATGTCACGTTTTTCCATCATTGTGCAGCCCTTTTCTCCAGTGATTATAGGGATTTTGTAAGTGTTTTATTCAGTTCTGTCCAACATTGTAAACTGGACAAAAACTTAAAGTACTTGTTGAATTCCTAAAAAAATAAAAAGGATTTACTGAAGGCCAGATGGGCTTTAAAATTTAGAGAAAAGATTCATCTTTTGTAAAACATTTTATGAAGGAAAAAGGAAAAAAAAGGAAAAAAATGTTTTGTGTGTGTTCGATCAAAACTGGGCAAAAACGCACAAAAAGCTGCCTTAACAAGTTTGTATAGATTCACACTTGACCTTGCACGCGTGCACCACTGTGTGGATAAACAAATGTTTTCTTGAAACGGCATCTTTTAAGTGTGAACATATATTATTAACGAGTAGCCACTTTCTGGTGGACTCGTGTGGGTTTTCCAGACTCCGGCTGAGACGGGAAGCCGTGTCTGATCGTCAGAGGGTTTCAGACTTCCTGTGAGCTACACGCAGCACAGCAGCCAAACAATATTTAAATGCTGTTCAAATGTTTTGGAAAAAATAAATAAATAAATAAAAATCTGACACTGAAAACCCAAAATCGGCACCGACAGCATCTCAAGCTAATGTGTGTACCAGTTCACAGCTCCCATGTAAGTGTAAATATAAATAATTTGGTTTTGTCTCTTTTAATTATTATAAATTTACAGCAACACTGGAATGGTTTTAGTGTCTGCAGTAGCAGCTCGCAATCAGAAAGCGTACTGGCACTGCTGTGGGCTGTTTTTCCTCTAATAAAAAGAGTTCAAACCAATTTCAGGGTAAAGTGATGCTAAATTAGATGCCATATCTGAAAGATAGCAGCATGTTATCATCCAAGAATCACACAACGACTGCCACAGCGTCATGGGACTATCTCTACAGGAGGAAAACAATTATTAACTGCAAACATACAGGCACTACGTGCAGAATTTTTAATTAAAAGACTGGCAGAGTTTCATCCCAGTGTGACAACTCTATTATTTCTCGACGATAAAATGGTCTTTTAGCAGAACAAATTTGGTTTGAATGGAGTGACTTCCACAGACTGTTTTAAGAGGAAGGCCGGGCTAACCGTTACCCAGACCTTGGCATTTTGATATCTGGGAGAAGAATAACATCGAGGCCGAAATTAAAGCAATTATTCATATGTTGCGTCAAACATTTCTGCCAGCTTTCACTTTAAGCTAAGGAAGAAATCACTGGAGCGTATTATTAATGTCCCGCCTTAGGAAGAAATGCTAAACACAGGTATTTTCTGTCTGTTTATCTCAAGTTGTGTGTTTGTTTTCTTTATAAATGTATATTAAAAGGGTTACCTTCATCAGGGTCATTTCTGGCTGATGCTTCCAGCAGTGCCACGCTGGCAGCAAACGACACGCGCCTCCTGGACTCCTGCAGGCTGTTAACAAGTCGTCCCTTCTTGTCCGCCTTCCGCTTCTTGTTCTGCATCTCCTTCTCATACACAGCCCACCTCTTCAGCTGCTGCGTCCGGCGCTTCTGAGCCGCCCGCAGCCTCTCCAGACTGGGCACCTTGTCCAGCTGCTGCAGCTCTTGTATCAGCTCCAGGTGGTTGGCCATGGTGCTGGGAAGGGTTGGACAGCAGACGTGGATGATGGTGGTGGTGGTGGTGGTGGTGGATGGGTGAGATGGTGGACACTGAGCGACTCCTAGCGAGGTCTGCACCGTCGGCTGCGGCCTCCTCCCATCATCTTCACCGTCATCCTTTCAGCACCAGTGAGCAGCCTGGGAGAGGAGACAGAGGCAGAAGCTGGTGTTTATAATGCTTCTTTAGTTTTCCAGGTGCATTCAGATGCAGGCGTGAACAGCCTAAATGCGCTTTCAGGTAGTCTGAACCCCTTTTGTCTGCATCCATCCTAATTCATGCAGAACCTCCTACTGATCTAACATATTGACACACAGGCAGCAGAGTGTTGAGCCTGTTGATTTAGGATAATTAATTACCTCCGCCAAGGGCGAGGAGGTAATGTTTTCGGTCACGAATGTCTGTCGTTCTGTCTGTCGTTCTGTTGTTCTGTCTGTGGACAACATTACTCAAAAACTTGTGTACGGATTGTTATGACATTTTTACCACATGTGGGTACTGGACCAAGGAACACATCTTTAAGTTTTGGTGATGTTCCGGATCACGATGCGGATACAGGAATTTTTTTTCTTTTAACATTCTGAGATCGGCAAAGCTGTGATGCTTTCACAGGGCTTCTGTAAAAACCAGTGAGCTGGATTGGACAGCACAGACTTCAAACTTTATAAAAGTAATGTTAAAACCAGATTTAATGATGAATAATTTTTTGCCGTAATATGCGCATTTACAGAACGTTTTGTGACCAGGAAGTGCCTCACTGCACCATGAAACCTATTTTTCCCATTTCCTCAAACACACCATATTACACCAGATTACAAATTCATTCCGATCGAGCTGAATCAGATCAGACTTTTCTGATTGTGACATTTATTCGATTATTTATATCCATGTAAACATAGCTAATTACAGGACAACAGCCTGACCAATGATATGTTGAATTATTTTTCACCTATTTTTATACAGTAAGGATGAAGTTTTATAGGATAAAAGTTAGAAAAAAGTAAATTTCAAATGATTTGTACTAGTTTGTCTGTTTAGTTTTTCTTTTCCTCACAGGTTCTCAGGATGTTGTTTTACTTATTTAATTTTTATTATTTTTATTTATTTATTTTCATTAACCTCCAATCTTCAATTAACTCCATACATAGAAGACACTATAACAAATGAGCTGAATGGAGGTAAATCCTAACTAATTAAATGAGCACATGTAGGCCGAGTTTTTCATTTGCTTTGTGAGCCACTATAGATCTGTCTACCATCCTCCATCAAGGTTAACCGCTTCCTTAAAGCTGCAAGCAAAGCAAAAAACTGATAAGGAGTGGAAAAAAGTGCAGGGCCAGTGAACTGAAGGAGTTTATTTTTTCATGTCTGAACTAGTTTTATTGCATCCTTTTTAGCGTCGTTGAGAAAACTTTTCTTTTCAGTCTCTTGACAATTTAAAGCATCTTTTAAGAGTAGTTTAAAGCATGGAAGAGAGTAAATGCCCAAAACAGAAATAAAACATAACATAGTGAACAGCTTGACTGAGATCAGACGACTTCCAAAAAATAGTAAATAAATAAAAAAAACGGCACAGTTAAAACCTACAAACATGAGGAAATCCAGAACCAAATACCTCCACGGCTTTCAAACCAACTATGCTTAAAATGCTGTTTCACAAAAGCTGATAAGCAATTCCTCGTGTGTGCAGCCGTTACTGAAACCCCCCCCCCCCCCCCCGCCCTGTCCCGCAGCAGCGTCTGATGAATCGCTTCACAAAGCAGCGTGTTGTCGCCTCCAGACTGCCATCAACCTCGCGCTACTCCGCAACTCATACCTAACTGCTAAAAAGCATGGACAGGAAGCAAGCTGAACAATCACTTCCTTCAGCATCACTTTCCGTTATCAGTTTACTGGTGCACATACTTTCTGTCTGTTTTAAAACAAAAGTACAACCATGGAAGAAAGTAAAAAAAAAAGTTCATTAAAATTATTGTTTAACATAAAAAAATAGAATATGAATAAAATGAGTGCCTGAGAAGGAAGCTGAGAATGTCTGTAATGCAGAAAATGATTTTTAGAGGCTGGATAAGGACACAAAGGTTGATCACAAGAGGATTAGCGTCAAGGTCTGACAATATTCTGCTGGAAATACAAACTTAATATGTCAGCATTTTTTTCCCCATAAGACTTTGTGTGTAGACAGACAGCAGAAGCTGACAGACGGATGTCGACAGTTGCAGGTGTTGGTTTGCAAAGGTGTCATTTTCTAGTAGAAACTGAAAACAACCGTGAGACCATTTTATTTGCAAAATACAAAATAAGTTACTTCAGCATTTTAGCCAGTGTCTTTGAGAAAATTACTCTTGCACAATAAAAGGATTGTCAAAGGAATGCACGTCACCCACCATTTTTTTTTTTTGAGTTTCTATGAGGTATGGTCTTCAAGACGTTTTAACCTTCCATTAAATATTTTAACAAAACAATGCAATATTTAAATAAATATCTATTTACATGCAGCGTGCAATAAATCCGCCTCTTCAAACATCTTGCTGGAAAATATGTTCTGAAAGCCTCATTCAGCGTCGCCTACAAAGATGTTTTAGTGCCCGAGCTGATAAATACAGTGATTGTGTTTCATGTGTTTCTGACACATCCATTCAACAACATGAGACAGACTCTTCAGCTCATCTTAATGCACCACCACAGCTAAAAACAGGAAATGCACCATGCCGAGTGGAAAAAAGAGAGGTTGATAGAGGATGTTCAGAGTACAGAAAGGTTAGAAACAATGTCACACACAGCCTCTGTGCCTGAGCTCACCTGGTAACTTTCAGCTTGTTTTAGAGAATCCACAATACAGCAGCTTAACTCACTGTATTTTCTTATAAACCATAAGTGATACAATCTTCATCTGTAGGGGTTTTGACAAGGATTTTAAAGTAACTTAATAAAAACTAATTAAAACAAAAAAAAAAATCTAGCCTCATGAAGAACGAGGTCCTGACAAATACAGACAAATAAGTTAAGACCCCAACACTGCTGACATCTGCATAAAATGATGTCACTCGAATTTATTTTGGGATGTTGGAGTTTCCTCTTGTGCGCGATGAAGGGCCTAACGTGCAGATGTGAGTACAGCAGGCGGCGTGAATTAACTTCAGACAGGAAGTGTGACGAACAAGGAGCCTCCAGTGTTTTCTTTGACTGTCTTTGATGGTCAGAGGGTTTAAAAAAACAGCTGCTGCTGCTGATCAAATCATTGGAATCAAAGCAGATGTAATCCTGTTACTCATGTGCTCACACACACGTGCACGGCCTAGTAGAGCTATCTTTATAGGGACATTGCATTGCTAGCCTAACCTTGACCCCTTACCCTACACTAGGAATGCGCGATATAAACGATATACGGTAGAAACGATATAAATTTGTCCTATGATAGAGATCTGTAGTCTACCGGCCAACCGTGCAATTCTTTTTGATGACTTAACCGGCTGGAGTCAAAACAGAGGAAGCGCGCACAGATTAAACAGGTGGAGTGCAGAAAAAATAATCTGCAAAG